AAGCAAACAGATGTTAAATGTTCCAATTATATACATCGAGTAAGAGAAATATAAGAAAAAACTGATTTTTCAAAACAATATGTGTTTGCGCTTTTTCTATAGGCTTATTTTCTCTCTTGAAAATGAATCGTGGCAAATAGAATTTAACAAATAATTCATAGAAATTTATCGTTAAATCAATTAGAAACTTGATCATAAATAATTTCGCATACGATTAGACCGAAATGATCGCATGTCAAAAGTATTTCAACGATAGAGCAATTCCGATATTGGAAAACCGGATAATCGAGGTTCCACTCTATACGGCTTCTTTCCCAATTCGTGGTATCGTTGGCATCTACGATGTTTACGGTTGAACCCAATATACAGAGTATTACAATGGCGTGGTGCGAGCGGTGGCGGCCAGCTTAGGTACCGCCGATCTAACATTAAACAACGACCTAATTTTCTACCCTTTCGCTAATCAGCGTTCCAGCCGCAGGTTCCAACTAAAACGATAACGGATCTCCATTATGCTCCGAAGATGAAACGGTTCCCGCTCGCGGACTCTAGATTCGAGTGAAATGTCAGCCGGTTCGCTCCCTTTGCGAATAGAGCGGCGACGACGCGACGGAACGAGGGGAGATGGGGGGTGGGGCAACGAAGCGCTGGACTCGCATCGCGGATACCGCGTCTCGAACCGATATTTGCTCCAGACAATGGGGCACCGGCGAAAGAAAACTCAATTGAAAGAGAAATCGGTAGGCCGATGGTAGCCGCCGTCTATAGATTTATATTGCGAGCCGCGGCGCGGATAGCATTGTGCGGGTCCCCCGAAACGAATTGCGAATATTGCAAAACGCTCGACGACCTTTCCAATTTGTAGCGTAACCTTTACGGAGAGCCGCAACGAAAGTTGCTCGTCTCGGCGAACGGTGAGAGAAGATTGAACGACGGTGGCGGCCGAGCGCCGCGGCACACGGTTGCGAATTACTATCGCGAAGTGGAAAAACAATATCATTAGCACAATTGAAAGTTTCGCGCGGAAGCTTCGCCGGCCGGCGAAACATGCCGCTCCGGATCTCCATTCGGGAAATTGAGAAGAACGTCGAGCTTCCGGGTTTCAGGGTAATCGAATCATGGATTTCCTTCTCTTGATCCGAATACGATCCTGGCCGAGGACGAGTGTCTGCGCACTTGATCGATTGCCTAAATTTAAATCTACACAGAATAAATGGAAATACTTCTTCGACATTTCTCGTCATTGTCCAATGATTTCGGTAGAGCTCTCAGACTCAGAATGCGTTTAACGCTAAACCGTACCGAGTCGACCAAAATGACGCATTTCACGGTTTCTGTTTTAAAGCCGCTGAGATAAACAGTGTTCGGAAAATTCTATTTCAAATAATAAATAACAAATTGTAAGTTGATATAGATATAGATATATTTAATTTGTAAATTAAATTAATATTCTATATTAATAATCAATATATTCTATTAATATTAATATCTATATCTATATTAGATATAGATATATTATATCTATATCTATATTAGATATAGATATATTATATCTATATCTATATTAATATAGATACAGATATAATATAGAATACATTGTATAATAGAATATCTCTATATCTATATTAATATAGATATAGATATAATATAGAATACATTGTATAATAGAATATCTCTATATATCTATATTAATATTCTATTTAATTAAGAAATCACTCGAATAATTCCACAAACAATTTATTTCTTATCTCTTGTTTTCAAAAATGAAATGTTATTTCTTATCCAAATTTACGCGAAAATCGAATAATAAATAATTTTTGTTTTTTTTCCGCTTATCGTGTGATAATTATTAATTTCCATTTATTATTATAGAAGAACTTGCATCTTTCTTCGTAAACTCAATGATATCGCTTAAAGCGATTAAATAATGAATAGTAAGCAATTTCCGATTTATATAAATAATAAGTATCTCTGTTATCTTTGTCTTTTATTCAAACTTCGAAAAAACAAATAATTTGTTATTTAAATAATCATCCAAAAGACCATTCGCTTAAATGATATCCAACTCTGATCATAAAGATTCTTTCATAGAAAATGATTGAATTTTCTTGCAATAAAAATAGCGAGTGAGCTACTATACTTTTTAGGGTTCGGCAGGTTCACGACCAATATAACTAAAATATTATCACATTTGCCACTTTTTCCAGACATTGTTCCGTGGGATTAGCACCTATTGCGAACACTGTACCGTATTTTAGCGACCGCAGAATGTATTTGCCAGAAAGATGGGAAAATACCTATTTGGAGAACGAGAGAACGATTTTTCGATAAGAAGTCTCGAATAATGTAAACAGGAAAACAATAAACACCGCGAATTTATGAGTCCTTCGTATTCTGGACCGTGAAACTGGCCGACGTCTACGCAAGTTGCAGAATAATGCAATTTCGAACAAATACAGCTTTCTGCAGCAGTGTTCCTTTCGTACGGTTCTCCGCGCGTTCGGTTCCCGACTTGGAAACAACTTTCTAGTATCCCTTGCCGCGATGATATGTCATACAGCAAGTATTCGCAACTTTGACAGACTGAATTCTACCTCGAGCAGCTTTTCGAAAGCAAACGGTCCCCGTGAACAAGCGTCGTTGACGCCCGTATTCCGTGCACGTTTGCGCGTATGTGTAACGCGGAGATCGGTGCCTCCACACACGCCCACGCATTCAGCCAACGTCCAGAGCAATAATATCTAAATCTGTTTCCAATAATACCAAATACTACCCCTCTTTCTGCGCCGATGGCCGTCAACCGTAAAATTGAATCAATCAATTACACCTTTCCTGGTTCCGTAATGAAATACCAGCCACGCTTTTTACCCCGTTCGCTTTCATAACGGCCCCGTTCACGTTTTAAATCCGAACATGTTACCAAACTCGGCAACACGTAACAATAACACGGAAACGTTGCGCCATTCGAAGTAGCATTTCTTGCGCGCACTCAAAACCCGTCTCACAATAAAACGATACGTAAAAGTAAACAGAGAACACAATGGCGATCGTTAGACCGGACCCCAAAAAAATATGGAATAATGTGGACAAAGCTCGAAGCCAACGCTGGAACCTGGCAATTTGGAACGGTTAGATCCCTGAACTATTCCCGATGCTTTCATTTACCTGTGTCAGCCTTTTCGGTGTTCAAAGAATCGGCTAAAAATTCTGTATCTGTATGTGTATGGTTCAGAAGCCGATCCACTTTTCTTTGAAAACGGATTATGCAATGCAAACATATCTTTATCACAGGATCTTTCGGTCGCTAAATCGATACAGTGGATTTCTTCATAAATATACAATAGATAATAATATTTATATCGATCAAGGAATGAGTGAACAAAATTGTTCAGAGGAAATTGTTTCTTCTAAAACAAAAACGTTTTATTTTGTTTCGCTTCTGATTAAGTTCATTTGGATCTAATCTTATAATAAAAATTGTGCTTTGCATTATTAACGGCATCGTTATGTTTTTACAGCTAATTTGCAAGGTCCTTATTTGTGTCAATATTAAGGTTAATGGACTTACGCTGATTGGTTTCTGAATCATCCATGTATGCGACCCTTGCGGCTTGTTTTTATAGCCGCCGATTATCGACAACTATAAAAACGAGGCACAAGGCTCGAATAATCGTATCTCCTCTTCCCAAATTGTCCATTTTTGTTTACAAGCTGAGGGAAGATTGAAGAGAATTCACCATACTTGGTACAGCGAAGGCTCGGTGAATGCGAATTAATGAAAATAATAGAACAACGAGGAGAAATGTTTTATAGTACTAAATTATCAACTGAAATTTTCTTATTCTTAGAATATAAGAGATCGCCATGCTGATTACGAATTGTACATCGGAATGAATTAAAAAGAACGGTAGCTACTCTCACTTACATTCATTTATTTTGCTTGTAACAAAGAGAGCAGCACGATGTACGAAAACTACAAAGTAAAACCTAATTATAAGAAACGTCGATTTTTCATTTTGGTCTATACGAAATATAGCCAATCTGAAAGTGCCACTTTCACTTCCAGAGGCGCTTGAATATTTTCACTTACGAATGAAAACTTGCTTCTCCCAAGTCATCGATTAATTGAGATACCTGTATAATTATTGTTAGATTCGATAATTCTGCCTTGAAACCAGCTCCGTATCGGACGGTGTTAACAAGACATTTTCTCATTATAAATCATAAGAAAGTGAAAGAACAGATTTTCACTGTTGTTAAAAGCTGTATCTAATTTAGAAAATGACGATGAAAGTGGTCAACTTCGAGTTTTTCGAAAGTATAGAAACAATAACGTATCAAGCCATCGTAACAGATATCCCACCTACTTCAGCTGCTCCAAGCTCGTAACACGTGCGAAACAGTTAGACCCGTTTCACATGAGTCTGCTTGTATCGCGATGCGCGTATGATGGATACCGACCGTGCATACAAGGTGTCCCAAAAGTCACTCGCAATCGGGTAATGAGGGCTTCGTCGGGTCATTTGGAGTAACTTTTTCCTTAGCGCGAATGCGATCCGCGGCTTCGTTTACGAGTTATCGACGAAAAACGGTGACCAATGAGAGGCGAGATCGGCTAGCGCTGCCGAGCCAATGAGCGGAACTGGGCCTCGTCCGCCCGTTGGCTCGGTCGCCTCGCGCCAGCCGAGCCCGCCTCTCATTGGTCACCGTTTTTTCGTCGATAACTCGTAAACGAAGCCGCGGATTGCATTTTCGCTAAGGAAAAAGCTGCTTCGAATAATCTCAGGAATCGCCCACTTCTAGGAATTAAGATAATTATGGGACACCCTGTATATTAAATAGAAGTAAACCTTGAAACACAGATCTACTCGACCCCCTTAGGAAACATGACAACCGACCGTCATCGGTTTTCCAATACCGAAATAGATTTCGCGTCGACCTGGTAAAGTAACGATACGGAAAAAATGTGAAAGAAATCAAAAGAAATAAATGAAACAAACCTTGCTTAATGACGATGCCAGAGGGCACTTGGACTATCGGTAGGGCAGCGTTCGGGGGATTAACAGGGATGCTGCCGGGTGTCCCTGGTGGCGGGGATGCGCTGGCGCTACCAACGGACCCGGGATCGCTGAACCCCTGTGTGCTGTTCTCCTCCGGCCCGTCGAAGAAGCTCAGATTGAACTCACTACCGGCGTCGAACGACACTTCCGGCGTAAGGGTGTCTGGCGCCGGGGCGCTACCCAGACCCGCGCTCAGCGACTGGTCGATTTTGAAAACGTCCATTGTACGGAGAGGAAATGATGCCGGCGATGGTGCACCTTGGTACCGACTGCGGTCACCATTCGCGTTACACGCCGCACTACTGGGACCGATTTCGACCTCCGTCCGCTCGGTTGCTCATAACTGGTTGCCGTTCGACCGACGAGTAACTTCTACGACGATACGTGCTCGCGCGGTCCTGAAAAAGGGAACTAATAACACCGCGAGAGAGTCCTTTCGAGCGACAAGCCCCGAAGGAAATCACTGCGAACCCGCGAACGCTCGCGCGATCCTCGCTGCGACACTATCCTCGGGTCTCCTCTGTCCGATGGAGGATCGGTTATCCATCAGATCCGCAGCGTCGCGCGACAGTCTCTAAAGCGTTACCTCGGGACCCCGGGTAGCTATCCACGAATCGCGTGTCACCTCGGCGCTCACTTATTTACGACCGGTGGAACATGCAGTCCACGAAGCGATGCACATCCACCCCGTTCGACTCGTTACCTTTTCATATCACCGGCTTTCGCACAAGGCCAACAAAGAGACCGCGCTCGCTCCGGGCCAGTCTTTGTCCAGATGCTTTGTCCAGGTTTCGAGGGAAGTTCGCCGGGCACTTGGACCACCGAGCCACCACCGCGGAGACGGTTCCCTTCAAGATGCTCGCGCGTCCCGATGCCACGGTTTCGAAGAAGCATTCCTCTCGGAACGGAGCTTGGTTCGCCGGGGTCGCTGACCGTTTGCCGCTCGCCGGACTCTCAATGAAATTGTCCGCGCGGCCGAACAATTTCGGCACGTCTCGCCGGGTCAGTCTCTGTTGTTCCGTGTCGGGTAGTCTGAGGCAGTCTTCGGGACGCGTCCAGCGACGCCGAGTTGCTCCGATTCATGCGATCCGATTCAGCGTTGTTCCCGGACAAGGAGACCGGGGCCAATGGTTTCGGTGGCCTTGGTCGCGCGTGTCGCTCGATCCCGATACGATTACGCGCGTCGCACACTCGATTACGCGTGCTCGTACTCGATCCCGTCCGAAGCGTTCCTATCCGTTGCTTCGTGCCCGATCGACGGAGTCCGTTCGGGAAACTTTCGATGCCGCCTGGAACTTTAGTTGTTTCACTCGTCGATCGATCCGGAGGCCGCGCGGTACACGCGATGTGTGTACGTTCGTTCGAGGCGGTTCGTTCGGCAGAACGCGACGACGATCGAGCTGCGGATTGATCCTTCCGCGTCGGCCAAGATGAACGTACTGGTGGACGGGCGGGGTGGGGCCGCCGAGCGAAAAAGGGACAAAATAAAAATTCACACTTCACTGACACCGTGTCACAACCTCGTGCCGAAGGAGACCCGTCTCGTTAGCTCCGTGTTCGCCGCGGGCTGCGAAAATCCGTGGGATCGAGTTCTTCGAAAGAGGTTCAGCATTGTTCAAGACGATCTCGTCGTCTTGCCGCGCGGGCATGTTCTCATCGGCGTCTCGTTATCTTCCCTCGTCTTTTCCTCGTTCTCCCTCCCCGGGTTTCCGCTTGAAAATAAAAACCACCGGCGAGAGGGTTCAACCCATTATTTTGTTTTTTGCACGAGATCGCGATCGGTCGCCGCACTCCGCTTTTCCTCGCCTCTTTCTTTCTTCCGATCCCCGTGTTTCTACGTTTCTCGTCAGATTTTCCTCTTTCTTTCTCTCTTTTTCTCTCCCTTTATCTCTTTCTTTCGTTGTTTCCCTTTCCCTCCTGTTTCGTCTTCCTTGTTACCTTGGTTCGAGTCGCACACGCGTCTCTACCTCTTTCTCTTATCCGCCTCGTTCCACGGCTCAGCGGAACGCTCTTACGGGTGAAACTTTTTTCGTGTAACGCAAGCGCGACATTTCCCGCCAATTTTCAGTGGATCTGTGGTCTCCTCGCTTATCGCGCGATCCATCGCTGAAAGACAAATCAAAACGAAAGGAAAATCAGAAACAAAACGGAATAATGCGCGCGGATCGGGACGCGGTAAAAGAAAATATAAAGAGCATGCAGACGCGTTTCTTCGATCTATTTAACGGATCTCCGCTCGAGATCGTTGCCGACGAGCAAAAAACCCTTGATTAATATTGCCATGATTACAGTTCCATTGCTGTCATAGTTAGCTTGATATTATCTTTACGAGAGAATAATATTAAATGAACGCTACGCGAATTAGTTGCAACGAACAAGCTTGTAAATTCGACCAAAACGTTCGCTGTTTACTGCGATATTTATTGCGCTATTTTATGCCTATAAACTACCTACTACGGCAAGAAAACAGTTATTAACGCTCGAACGGCGAATCTTTTTGATAAAACTATAACTGGACGTGCTTAAGATCATTTATAATTTTATTTATCAATTTTGCTCAACATAATTTGTACGGTACTCGTTCTAGATACGTTGGCTTTTCGATAGATATTAACGAAATACGTGACATTTTAAATTAGTTGTCAGCAGACCGTGGAACTTTACAATGAATAAAAATTTTCCTCGTCGATTGTATGAAATAGAAGATAGATAAAAATGTATTTCTTCCATTAACGACGTTAATACACCCAATTCAATTTTTACATGGTGGTACCAAGTTATTTGATTCCAATTTAATTTATCCATAATTTCTAGCACATTTAGAACGGTATTATTCTTCTATGTATGTACACGATGTCTTTTTTTATGCGATTTCTTCTTGAACCTATATAACGCGTAAAAACAGAATTGGATGTACGGTAACAGTAACGCAACAGTATTTGTAAATTCTTTTAACGTGTTCGGTGTTCGATGCTCTTTTTATCCATATTTGCTATAAATGCGTAAAATCCGCGGTTTAGTTGTCGGAAACCAAATAGTCGAGTAGCAATATTTATAATCTAGGTCTAAACGGACCCAGACTCCGCCGTCCGAGTGCGAATTTACATTCCAGAGAATGGTACGAAATGACCAATAACAAACAATTACTGACTCCGTGATCAACGAGCTCGCCGTCTCGCCGCGAGCCGTTGCACTCCTCAGGCACAGAGATAAAAAGCGAAACAAGGCGATCGAAACCGAGTCACAGAACACCGTGAACTGGCTAAATCACTGACTGCGGGACGATCGCGTTTCCTACTGGCCACGATCGATCGTCCGCAAACCGATCGCCGAATATCGAAAGCATCTCGCTATCCGTCGTGTTTTCCGCGTACCGAGAGAAACGGGAACGAGCCTGGCGAGCGGCAAGCATCGAAAGAGAGGAAAAGATCGCGAAAGGAAGAGGACAGCGAGCCGGAGAGGAACACGAGGAGGAGAGTGAGAAAAAGCGAATGTCATTGCCGTAATCTTCGGACGTTGACTTCCTCCTGGCTCGTCCCTCCTTCCTCTTGGTCACAAACCCCCTCCAACAACGCGTCCAGCCCTCCCTCCCCCTTCTTCGGCCTCTCCTTCTCACCTGTGCGTTCTCCTTCGCGATTCTCTACCTGTGTCTCTCTTCCTCTTTTCCTTTACTCTTTGCTCTTCCTATCTCTCTCCCTCTCCTCTCCTGTCTCCTCTCTCTCTCTCGCAGTCTCTCTCTCCCTCTCTCTCTCGCACTCTCTCTCTCTTCCTCTCTCTCGCACTCTCTCTCTTCCTCTCTCTCGCATTCTCTCTCTCGCACTCTCTCTCTCTCCCGCTCTCTCTCTCTCTCTTTATATATTTTTTTCTGTTCCCCTCTCTCTTTCTTGGAGGCTCGTTACGCGGCGACTCGTAAATCTCAAATATTTTGCACGGCTATCCGCGCGCGAAACCCGCCGATCGGAAATTTTCATAAACGCCGATCGCAAGCGCCGAGGGAGACGTATTACGAAATACATTGTGCCCGACGCGGAGTCTGACACAATCGCCACGGAACTACGCTTTGAATTCCGAATGAGTAGCCACTGACGCGACTGGGTGCAGAATTCATTAAACATTTCAGGGCTGACGGCGAACCAGCGGCATCAAGGTCCGCGACCACGAAGACTCGCCGGGTGACACACTCGTGTCGGAGGACAGTGGTCCGAGAGACAACAATTTCTGACCAAAATTCAATTTATCAATTTTCATATTTGTACCGAATTTGTTTTCCCAGGGTAGTGAAGCCAATTACCGTGGGGTATCCAGTTACTGTGCCTTTGGTTTATTTTCATAAGACATTAATTTTTACACAGACATATTAATTAATAATTGTTTACTTAAATTCAATTAATTATTTATTTGTTTAAATTACACGCATGAAAGACGGAAGTTCTTGAAACACCACAAAAATTGTATAATTTTGTTGATACCGAATTCACGACATTTGCTGCGAAGCTTACGAAAAAAGGTTGAGAAAAAGTGAACGAATGGAAATTAATGTTCATTAAAATAAATCGTTATAAATAAGATATTACCTTTTTAATTGTATCGATAAAACGTATTAGGATTACGGAGGAACGAGACAGTGAACATTTATTTGGATTTTTGTTTTCATTTTCAATTTTAATAGATTATTTACTGTGCTATTAATGTCTTTGCTGTACCTTTATCGATGTAAGCACTTGTATTTGAATTCTTTATGCTTTAGGTTTTTAACAATTTAAACTTTAAGAAATATTATAATAAACTGTTTGGAAATGTTTTTTGGGGTTTTTTTAAAATATGAAATCATAAACTATTGTCGCGATAGGGGCACGTAAGTTTTTAGTGCATTTTCTTGCGATTTTGAATTATATGCGGATTAGAAGTAAACATTGGACATTATTTATGTTTTCAGGCTCGTTTCGCCGCGCGCTGATCGTTCGTATCCTATTTCAAAATAAACCACGATTTTTCAGACATTTCCGATGATCTGGCAAACAAATATTTCCAACAAAAGTTGGACGGTATTCTCTTTTCTACATATTGGAATATAAGAGCTCCTTCCCAAAAAGAAATTCTTTTTATAAAAAATGCTAGTCACCGCGACCTTTTAAATGTTAATACATATTTTTGACTTGAGATAATATTCTAGCTGGTATCGAGACGAATTCAACGACCTACTATAATATAACCTTAAACCTTAGAATGAAACGTGAATGATCCGAAACGTTAGAATAATTTAAGCCATAGAAAGCGAATTCTCGGATCACTGTGCGGAGCATCGAATGGATTGTTCCTCGCCTTCGATCGTTCCTCTCGTAGTCTCTTTTCGTTCGATTTAGATTTTGCGTAACTTCGGCATTGTTACGTGAACCGGGCAGCGTTCGGTTCGCAGTCGAGAAACGATTCCAGTCGGATATCTGTTATGTAAAAGTTTTTCTCGCCGAAGAGCGATCTCGATGCTGCGATCGCTTGGTAAATCGGTGAAATGAAAGTGGATGAATCCACACCCGTGTTATTTTTTGTCCCGGGGTTTTTGCCGATTGGAGTTCGAACGAATGTTTGCGAAGTTCTTGCGAACGCGAGATTGTCAGCTGCGCAGCCTAGAAAGCATTCGTATGGTCGTTTTGTCTGCGCTATGAATTTTTATAAAAAAAAAAGACTGATTTCATTCGTTATCCCTTAAAAAGTTGCATTTGTATTATACTCGGGATGCAGTGTAAAAGTTGCTGAGCACACTTCCAGAGGAGAAATTTGTTTTGTTTTAGAATCCTAAATTTATACCTAAAGTTTAGCGATTCAACCCGGGAACACTTTGTATACAATGCTTCTGTCAACAAACATTAAAACGTCAATCCAAAAAGTTTGCTCCTAGCTCCCTGCGCAATACATATTTAATCAAGAAATATGTCAAACTTTCAAGAGTATAACGTGATCATGAGTTTGTACATGCAACCAATCCCCTACATGTTTCTATGTATGTACACGATGATATATTTTACACGGTTTTTTTCTGTAACGTATATCTACCGCGTACAAACAGAATCGGGTGTACAATCAACAGCATCCAAGAGTGAAATCACCTTTGCATTTTCCACCTCCCTTCGCGCCAAGCATCGCGCATCGAGGCGATTTTTTCGGAAACCAAATTGCCTGACTATTCTCCCGACTGTTAATTGAAACACCTGGAGGAAATTCATTTCGGACGAACAGCGCATTGTGGCGTTACGACTATTTCGCAGGTAGGCGTCTCGGTAAATCGTCTTTTCGACTACGTCGGTTCGCGCTGGTCAAAAGGGCGAAATCACGCGAGCAATGATTCAAAGTCTCTGCGCTGGTATAAGAATGAGAGGAAGAGAAATCTAGAGAGAGAGAGAGAAAGAGAGAAATCGAGAGAGAGAGAGAAAGAGAGAAATCAAGAGAAAGAGAGAGAAATCGAGAGAGCGAGGACGAGAGAAATCGAGAGAGAGAGAGAGAAAGAGAGAAATCAAGAGAGAGAGAGAGAGAAATCGAAAGAGAGAGGAAGAGAGAAATCGAGAGAGAGAGAGAGAAATCGAAAGAGAGAGAGAGAGAGAAATCGAAAGAGAGAGAGAGAGAGAGAAATCGAGAGAGAGAGAGAGAGAGAGAAATCGAAAGAGAGAGAGAGAGAGAGAGAGAAATCGAGAGAGAGAGAGAGAGAAATTGAGAGAGAGAAATCAAGAGAGAGAGAGAGAAATCGAGAGAGAGAAATCAAGAGAGAGAGAGAGAGAGAAATCGAGAGAGAGAGAGAGAGAGAAATCGAGAGAGAGAGAGAGAGAGAAATCGAGAGAGAGAGAGAGAGAGAAATCGAGAGAGAGAGAGAGAGAGAAATCGAGAGAGAGAGAGAGAGAGAAATCGAGAGAGAGAGAGAGAGAGAAATCGAGAGAGAGAGAGAGAGAGAAATCGAGAGAGAGAGAGAGAGAGAAATCGAGAGAGAGAGAGAGAGAGAAATCGAGAGAGAGAGAGAGAGAGAAATCGAGAGAGAGAGAGAGAGAGAAATCGAGAGAGAGAGAGAGAGAGAAATCGAGAGAGAGAGAGAGAGAGAAATCGAGAGAGAGAGAGAGAGAGAAATCGAGAGAGAGAGAGAGAGAGAAATCGAGAGAGAGAGAGAGAGAGAAATCGAGAGAGAGAGAGAGAGAGAAATCGAGAGAGAGAGAGAGAGAGAAATCGAGAGAGAGAGAGAGAGAGAAATCGAGAGAGAGAGAGAGAGAGAAATCGAGAGAGAGAGAGAGAGAGAAATCGAGAGAGAGAGAGAGAGAGAAATCGAGAGAGAGAGAGAGAGAGAAATCGAGAGAGAGAGAGAGAGAGAAATCGAGAGAGAGAGAGAGAGAGAAATCGAGAGAGAGAGAGAGAGAGAAATCGAGAGAGAGAGAGAGAGAGAAATCGAGAGAGAGAGAGAGAGAGAAATCGAGAGAGAGAGAGAGAGAGAAATCGAGAGAGAGAGAGAGAGAGAAATCGAGAGAGTGAGAGGTATCACGTCGCCGGATATACATTACCGCGGCATAATCCGCCGCGGATGATTTATAAATCGAGTGAATCATGATTTGGCACGAAGGAAAAACGGTAATCGCGAATTAGCATTTGCATCGGCGCGGGACGGGCCTCGGCAAAGCCCTTGCGGATCGCTCGCGAAATTGCGCGGCTCGCGAAGCTTCGCTGGCCCGAATGGCGGTTTCGCGGCCCCGCAGACGGTCATTTGTCTCCTGCAACGCCTGCCCGGTTCCGCGTTCCATCCACGTCACAACTCAGTGCGTTCACCTTGCCGCGAGTTATCAAAATCGGATCCAAGGCGATAGCCGCGACGCCGTAGCGATGGGACCGAGCGCGCCGACCAAATACTTTCGACGTCTGTTAGAGCATCCTTGAAAAACGAAAGGATGTTTACTCGCATAGATCCAAAATCGTTGAGCTTCATTTGTACAGATTCTAACGATTTTCTTCTGTATAATGCTATTTATTGTGCCATCAACGATCTCATGTTTTGCATAGACAAAATTGTAGTAGCGTATCGTATGTCATATTACGTTACTTGTATCTTATTTTTTTCCCGTTGCCAGCATTAAACTAGTATTGTTATTATTATTATTATTATAAAATGAGTTTTACACAATTTAATTCAGAATATTTTTCACGTGGTGTAAAAGATGAAAATGCAAACCTGACAATTTTTAAATATATTGTTATCAAATAAGAAGTATATTTTCGAATGTGGTTTTGGGAGTTTGTATACTTTCTAACTAATGTAATAATGTAAACGGTAACAAAAAGTCATCCTTAGCCGGATGATAAGATAAAATAACACATTTTAGCTCGTCATTGTATACCGTGACGCTAAAGTGGCATAACGAGTGTATTCCATTATTTGAGGTGATTAGGATTATCGCGTTCGCTACCAGTGTTAATTGCTATCACGGTTATATTATTTTATTCGTTGTATGTCGTTACAAAAATCTCTAAATTCTCCAAATATCACGAAATGTGTTAAAAATTTTTACCAATGACATCCACGAAGTTGATGTTCTTTACGCGGTATACGAAATCGTGGTCATCGCACATATCGCGCATGCGTTATCTCGCAGGAAATTGTGTACGACAAAGAAGTTCTAATCACTATAGCTGTAGAATAAATCACGTGAAACGTAATTGAAGTCGTTGCGTTTAAATCTGATCGTGGATTTTTATCTATCGAGCTCTCTCGCTCTCTCGTGCTTCGCAAAGAGTGTGTGTGTTGCGTTTAAGAAAATATTCCAACTATAGAGAGTCTGTTGCGGAATAAGTGATGAACGCAATCGTGTTGAACGAAACTTGAATGGAATAATTATTTGGGCTAGTTTCAGGTGATAAATCTGTCTAGCCAGTTCTTGATTAATCTAATCTCACGCATCTATCTGATTCGTTGCTGCAGTGTTAGAAAGTGGACTCGATCTGTTATTTCTGAAGCAAAACATTTAATGTTTACCTGCAATCTGTTAGTCTGGCAAATAGCCACAATTTATTTATCGCCACAGCCGGTGTGATTTCTTGATTATCGTGCGAAGATTTTACGAAGATGTCGCGAAAACAGAATATTTATGCAAAATCAAAATTTGCCAAAGCGATTGTAAGAGAAATTAAATAAAGATACATTGTTGCTTTTAATACGTTTGATAAGATTGAAACGGTGTAACAATATTGTTAAATTCTAGTCTGGTATCTCCATAATTTCGTATTTCAGCTACCCAACTTTGCCATAAACGCATGAAATCCGCAGTGTAATTATTAGTATTGTAACTTTATTCCCACATTAAATGCAGACAACCTACAGATCGTTCACCGATAATACACCGATTCGATATGCTCCGAACAGTGCGCGAACATAATTCCCCGTTTCATTTCGGGTTTATCAAAACTGATTAGAACCAAGGACGCTGGTCGTACAAGCGAGATATTATTTTGATCGATATTCACGAGCGTATACGAGACCTGGTCCCATCGCTAGCCGACACGTATTCTTGGATCTCGATCGCGCCACGTGCTCGGGCCCGTGGAAAACTGGGCGAAATAAATTTATAGTTCCCCCCACCGTTCCGTTCGCGTTCTTGATCGTTCCGCGACCGGCCACCAAACTATTCGTCTTCCGGAAATTCCTCACCCCGAGATTTAAATATCTCGTCTTTTGTCGCCCGATCGACGGAATTTAATGCTTCCTGGTTGTTCTGCGCGATATACGCCACCGTTGCGCAAGAGTTATATAAGGTGTTCAAGAATTCTGGACGAGAACTCTGCATACCTGCGGCACCCGAAACGTTAATCCGTGCAGAACCAATTGCTTCTAGACCAGTTGAAACGCGATTCGATCGTCCTTCCGACAATTCGACAAGATCGTTCGTCGACTAAAATTTCCTACTTCGTACCACAAGTATCCGAGCTACCCGGAACCGAATCAGCGATCGTCCTGTGCAACGAATCCGCGAACCACGCAGGAACAGATAGCCGCCATCGATCGATAGATCATGTTCAACGAAAACTCGTCCCCACTCCCGGTGGCAGCGTGTCGGCGGCCGGTTCACGCGATACCGAAATCCTCCTCGTTTAGCCGTACAACCGAGAACGGAATGAACTTTAGCAACTTCCGCGACAATTATTCGCGGTGCGCCGCGGCACGGCGCATTGGCCGTGCGCGACTCTCGTTCAGGATAAAGGGAAGAGCGAGCGAGCCACGCTCGACGCGTTTTACCTGCACGAGTCGCCGCTGAAAACACGCCGGCATCCAGCGGCGCGTTTCTCGGTCGCAGTTTTCAGCGGGTCTGGGCGGCCCAGGACCGCGAGGAGCCCCGTCCGTTCCAGGACAACGGAAGGATGACGATGACGACGAGGATGCCAGGCACCGGTTGCGAATAACAACGACGACAACGACGACGACGACGACGACGACGCCAGAAATCCGCGAAGCGTGACTGGTCCCGCTTCGAGGCGCTGTTCACGGCTAGGCCGTTCACCACCGAACAAAATCCCTTGAATCCCTCGAAACTCGATAGACGAAATTCGAACGGAGACGATATAATATCGAGGGCCACGCGTCGCGGTCACAGGACGCGGCAGAGGACACGATCGCAGGCCGTCGATGCACACCGATCCCTCAGCGGTCCCACTTCAAGATCACCTCGATCCGACACATTGAACGTCACTCCAGCTCCGTAACGATCCCGTCCATCGGGATCATTGTCCGTGCACGCGATGAGAGTCGCGTGTGACGTCGAGAGAACGACGACACCGATGACGAGGAACCTCGATCGTCGTCACCCGCTTGCTCGCGCTCGTGGTACCCGGAATCGCGGCCACCGCGCGCCGATTCACCGTGATCGATGGATCGGCCGAGTGTCTCCGTACGTCCCACCGACCGACTGCGGGATAAACAGAATCCACGAGGCGGACGTGTCCGAGCAGCGCAAACTACGACGACGACGGCGGCAGCGGCAGCGGCAGCGGCACCGGCGACGACGGTAACGGCCGCGCGCGAATATCTCGAAAAACAAAGCAAACAGGGACAGTCGGGCCCGATCAGGCGAAAGGGGATGGTACCGGGCAAATAGCCGCGAGCTGCCCTATTACGATCACGTGCGTTTGTCACGAGTCGCGGTGGTGTATACGGAGCTGACTCGCTCGCTCTCGCGCGAGTGCCGAGAGCGAGTTCTGTCTGTGTGTTCCGAGGTGCTCCGTCTTCGTCGTCCGCGAACCGGCGCTCTCTTTCCCTCTCGCGCCCTACGACTCTTCGACTCGTTCGCTCTATCTGTTCCTCTAGTTTCCTTCCACCCGAACCCGCTCTTTCTCTCCCCCTCTATCCCTAACTCGCTTTCTCGCTTTCTCTCTCTCTCGCTCTCTTCTTCTCTCTATCTCTCTCTCTCTCTCTCCCTTTCGCGATCCAACCGCGCTATCCGTCCTTGTCCAAGTCTAGAGTCATCCTCGTCGCGCGGCCGAGAGAGCGCGAGCGAGCGCGCGCACACCCGGGAGAGAGTCTTACCTGTGAGGTAAGTAAAACCGGCGTTCCGTCGTACGTGTTACGGCATTGCGCGACTCGGCCGACTCGTAGCCCCACGCTCTTCCATTACGCGGGGTTCCGCGGATTGCCGGGCCGGGCATCGAGGTAGGAGAAGAGAGCGGGATCCGGGGGGCACGGCGGGAGAAGGGAAGGAGCGAGAGAGCAAGCAAAAGGGTGAAGGAGGAGGTGGCGGTGGTGATGGAGGTGGTGGCACCAAGAGAACGAAGAGGTGGTAACGATGATAATGCTGCAACAGGGGTAAGGAGAGAAGGTTCGTGCACAGGGGAGGGAGAGAGAACGGGGGAAAGGAGCGAGAAGGAGAGAGAGAGAGAGAGAGAGAGAGAGAGAGAGAGGACGGAGAATTAAATGACTGGGTCGGAGGTAAGTCCTGGAGATGGTAGGGGCTGTGGTATCGAAGGGGCTGAGGGGCTGAGGCACGACGCCGCTTCTAGGGGAAGAGGGGAGGCTGAAGTCGGAGGTGAGCCGTGTCGTTTGTACAGTCCGGTGGGGGTAGCGTGGACCATGCCACGCTGGTAGGGAGTTGAACGAAGGGGGAGGAGGTGCTGGTGGTGGAGAGGGGAGTAGCGAACCGTGGACCCCGGGGTGGGGGACACGAGTGGACCAACTGGGTTCGCCAGCAACCCGTGGTTCATTGACCGAGAAGTGCCGGGAGAGCCGAACGGTCGGCCGTGTTCGACCCGCTGCTAAAACAGAATTTGTACCGGCACTTTATACGTCTCATCTACACGACTCGAGAAACGGACGGAGACGGAAGAACGTGTCGGCGGGCCGGGCTAGGTCGAGTCGAGTCGAGTCGAGTCGAGTCGAGTCGAGTTGGGTCGGATCGGAACGGGTCGGATTGGATCGAGTCGAGTCGAGTCGAGTCGGGCAACCAGGAACCGAGAAACTGGAGTGCGAGAAAGAGACACCGAGAGGGAAACACGAGGAAAATTTGTCTATGCGCAGGAAGAGTAGACACAGCCGAGCGAGACGGCGGATAAGGAGGGAGACGCGTGTGCGCGATTGCCCGCGCGACGCGCCTCGAACATCGGGAACGCCGGGATGGGACGGTTAGGCTTGCGGGGTTGCAAGAATTTCGGTATGAAAGACGAGCGAGGAAGGGTGACGAACGCGGCGACGAAGAGAGCACCGATTACGATCCCCGTCGTCGCGCGTACGCGTGAGCCGTCGCGTTTGCAAATTCTGAGGATTCAATTAGACGAGCTCGCGCGTCGGCGACAACGACGACGACGACGACGACGACGACGATGAAGAGGTCGCGGAAGACGAGGCCCTATCGTCGTTTCCTGGTATCTCGATTCGGTTTTAATCGTCGCGCGCGAGAGGAGATACGTACACGCAGAGACGCGCGAAGCACAGTCGTTAGTCCGGACCCGGTAATACCACCGCGGCGTGTCGTCGAACGTAATTACACCGGCGCAACGATTAAGCGAGTTAACGCCAAGTTCGCCGAGTTACGTTCGTTTCGTCGTTAACACCATCGTCGTTGAGAGGACGGGTTTGATAGACTGGCGCGCGAGCACACTTCGCCGGATGCGACTCGCGACGATAATGTTATAACTCCCGACGGCCGGAGCGGTTACAAGCGTCGACGAGATAGATGACACCTTCGACGCTATCGGCTCCATTATCACCGTTGAAATCATAAGACAAAGATATCCTTGGACGTGGTACGCGTAGATCGGTACACGGCCTCTTGTCGCCGGCCGTGTACCGGCGCGGAAGAGATCCCTGGTAGGATCCGATCGATCGACGATACACCATTAGATCGATGTTATCGCGAGCAAGGATCGTGGTGGAAAGTCCCGGTGGTATCGACCCGAGCGATCGAGTCGGGCCGATCGGTTCGATGACTTATCTCGTTCCAGCAAGGATCGTGCGTTTCCTGATCGAGACCAACCAGCCGGATCGAAGAAGATGGCCGACGGGATGCGTTCACGGGAAAGGGATGAAGTCCCCGTGTAAGTAAGTCTGTCGACTGCTGGTGACCACACGGCTGCACACTTGTCGGGAAAGGAGATGCGCAACTCGGTGTAATGAACCTGGGAAACCGGTTACATCCGCGCGTGTATATATACAGATCGGTTCGGCCTGTACTTACGTTACATTACGCGGACTTCGCTGGTAACCAGCGATCCAACGAATCAACGATCCAACGATCGACCGCCGCAACGGACGGTCAACGACGACGGGAAGTCGCCGAGGCTTGCGTCGATGCGCGACAGAAGCATTTCGATCGGTGTCATTGAAATAGGCGGCACGAGTCTTGCGAGCGGATACCTGGCCTCGCGGGCCAATTAAGAGTAACCGAGTTTAGCGATGAAATTCACTCGGCCGAGTATCGCGTCGAAGGTATTCCCGTATCGCAAGGGTGTTCACGGAGCCAAGTTGCTTCGGGAGTTATTACCCTTCGAGCCTCCGTTACTCCATTTACGTAATAAGGATGCGTATAATAGCGACCGTTGTCGGTTCAACCCTTATCCGAATCATCAACGGACGCTTACGACTTTGCATCGGGGTCAAATTGCTCCGAGGCGATACAGCTGTTCGAATACGCACGCTCGCTAATAGGGGAGACCGAAATTCATTCATTCTTTTCGAGACGATTTCGCTCGCGAGCGATGGCACTTTTGGGTTACGATCCGATCTATTTCATCGTCGAACTCGTAATTATTATTTAATACTAAAAGCTTCTGCAAAGGAAATATTGTACAAGGACACGTTAGTCGACTGAGTAAAGTACTCAGCAAGGCGAAGAGGTCGCCGTTACGGAAATATCACTATAAGGTTGAAATTGGAAGCGCCGAGAATTGTTAAGTAATCGAGTAAGTCTGGTTGAAATGATTCGATCCATGAAATGGATTCGTCAAACTTATTCGTCGAAGAAATGAAAAGAGCGATTTGAAAACGACTATATGTAATAGCCATTTAATAAGAAAATAGTTAGAAATAAACAAAGTGTTTTAGTTAGAAAATAATTAGAAAAATTAGAAAGATCTTAGTCCTAGTCTTTGGTATTAGATCTTAATCCGAGTCTATTAAATCTTTTAATAATTTCCACTTCTTTATCTTACGCGGCAAAGAGCTTTTTCCGGTGAAAGCATCAAACGAATAAATAAAAGTACACAAAAACTATTGTTTCACTTTATTCATCTCGCAGTTATTCTTTCAACGTAATCACCAACTGCGAATGTACCAGCAGAAATTAGTATCTTAAACCTCGTTAGACAACTTTTAAACTGATCGACCACTCGTTTCACATTGCTCAATTTTGAGATTCATAGATCCACGAAGATTCGAACGTATTAAAAAGTATCCTGGGATAGAAGTTGCGTGGACTAGAATCATACGTTTCACACATTTACACATTCCAAATAATTTCCCTCGCTGAGAAACAGAGAAGAGCATCACCCGAGTGTTACGCAATTTCGGCAATCAATTTTCCCGCTCTCTCGGGGTGCACTCTCGCCGCATTTATCCCCTACACATCCGGGGTAACTATTGAAAAAGTAATAACTAAGCAGCGCATCCGACACGGTCGCTAAATCCGCTTTATTCATATTCAATTACCCTACCTGCATTTGCGTACCAAAATAAATTCGCCCCACGAACCGGCCGCGTCCCGCGCGAGCGAAAGGAGAAACAGCGATCCGGGTGAAACGGTCGTGAAACGCGATCGGGGGCGAGGTAAAAATCCATTCTAAGCACGATATCGCATTTCCCACGAGATCGAAACAAATAAATTTCGAATGGATCGATTCGGTGCGCCATCGGCTATCCACAACGGCCGATCTCATCCCTCAGCCCCGACCGGGAAACAAGAGCCCTCGTTTTTCAATTAGAACGCGTTCACCGTGAATCGCTAATTTTCGAAAACTGGCCGGCTATCTCGGGGCCGCGTGGATCCCTTGAATGAACGATGTTTCATTGTCGAGTTTGAAAGGGTTGGCTACTCGTGGCGGCGTTAAAGGCAGTCTTAGGGGAGGAAAAAATGTTGGGATTCAATTACCGCGGGGTGAAACGACGGGAGCGGAACTTCCGGTCGCCGGGATCTTCCGGCTCGGCGTAAACCGTTCCGGCATAAAAGGAAGGGTAAAGAAAGGGGCGATAGGGTGGTGGTATGGGTCGGGAGGAAGCTCAGGGGAACGGTACACGTCGAGGGTGTAGTGGGAATGGGAGGGCGCGAGAGGTTGAAATGGGACGAGGGGTTGGTGGTTTAGCGCGAGAAGTAGCAGAGCTAGGATAGCAGAAGGGGAAAGGTAAGAGGGGGTTGGGGGTGGTTGAAGAAAACACATAATAGGGTGGGGCGCTTTGCTGCCGCTTTTGAATCGATCCAACACCGGCTACAGCTGGGGTCTCATCCCACCGGGTTTGGTCAGTGGTTCTCATTCTCTTCTCCCTGATTTTACACCCACCCCCACCCATCGCCACCCAGTCGAACGAAATACTTATTTGCTTGGACATCGTCGGCCAATCGTCGAAATTTTTTATTACAGCTTTATCGAATCTTTAATAAGTGATCGTAGCATAAAACAACACGAAAAAATGAACTTCACATTCGCGCTAGGTTTCATCCAAATGCACATGAATCTCACTGTTACGAAAATTCTGATCTCTTTGTTTTCCGGTTGCTCCAATTTAAATAATTATTGCCTAAATCCTATTAGTTTATAAGTTCTCAATGTTTTACAT